AGCCGCCCTTTCTCTTCAATCCTACTCCCCACTATGTCTGCTTGCCCCACCGTGTGCCACTCAACCCCACTCTATATATCACTCTTTCTCTCCCTCTCTTTCTCCCACGTTCTTTTCAAATAGCATGTCGTGTATAGCTTTCCTTCTCTTTCCTTTTCTTTGATCAGGATTCTGTTCTCCCCTCTACCAAGCTTCCCTTGCATGTCACTCTTTCTCTCTCTTTCTTTCTCTATCTACACGTCTGTGTGTGCTCCCTGTTTGTCCTACACCTCTTTTCTATCCTTTTAACCTTTTTTTTTTACATATGAACCACGCGCTTCGTATGAGCCTATAAGATGAGACTGACGGTAAATATGGAGAACTCTTTCTACAATTATATGCTTCATCTTTTTCTTTGTTCTTTTTTAGAAGTGTTTTATGAATAATCTGATTATTATCATAATGGTTTACTGTTTGATATAAATAAACTTTATAAAAAGAAAGAAATTATCTAAAATCAATGATCTAATTGAATGAATGATTAACAAAAAAAAAAGAAACAACAGGAACATTTAATTCTATTTTTACACGATAAATACGTTTCCAAAAAATAAACAAATTTTGTGTTAAAATATATACTGTATCTATAGAAAAATACTTTTTGTTTAACTCAGATGAAGTGCATTGTAAAACAAAAGTTTCTTCTTAGCATTTGATTGATCATGTTAAATAACAATCATGTAAAAAAAGTTCATGTAAAAAGAGAATTGGGAGTATTTATTATCCATTAATTGCTTAAAATAAAGCTTACATAATTAAAATTATAATTTCCCTATAATAATCCTTATTACTATAATTTAATATTTATGTATACTTCTTTTTACCACTGACCGGTAGCTATCGTGAAAAGATCTTTAGGATGAAAATTTATGGTAGGGTAGTGGGAGTGATCGGTTCTCGGGTAAAGGCAAGAAAGATCAGGTTGCTTGGTGGGGAGAATGAAAAAAGTCGAAGAGGAACAGGCTATTTTTGTTCGATTCAAGACGGCGCATCGCCTCAGGGCAGCGTGTCACTCTTTCGTTGGGAGCCCCCCCTCTCCGATTAGAATTTCTAATCAAGTCGTCGCAGGTGTAAAAAAACGTATCGAGACCTTCATGAATCACGTGTTGTAAAACAGAACCGCCGAGAAACACGTGTATCTGTTGTACTCTTGGTTGACTGTGAGCATGCTTTATGTACTACTACTTTCCCCTCCCTTTCATTCATCTCTATCCTGTTTCCTGTAAGCGTCGCCTCGCTGTCTCTATCGAATGTCCAAAAGACGACTTCACTAAGCTGTTATTATCATCAAAATAGAGTTTCAATCATTTCGAAAGTATGTCGGCGTATCTTATTAGTTGACATGGTAATGTTGAACGGTATTTCAAATTAATTGATCTGACGATCAATATAAATTCTTTTATACGTATGTCGTGATTATGCTAATGTGTGTGTGATGTTTTTTTTATATGTTAATATTTTAATTACATTATAAGATATCAAAAAGATTATTACATAAATTATGTTACAACAATCGTTGGCTAAAAGAATATATTTGTTAGATATATAAACGTAAGTATTTCACAGATAAGGGCTGATGCACATAACTGAGAAAACGCGTGGAAAAAATATATTCAATTCGAAGTTCACGGGGTAAGACACGGTGCAGAAAAACCAATACGTATCCGCGTGCCGGCCATGATGGATTGCCCAAGCTATGGGAAACTATCTGTCAAGCACAATATCGACCCTCGCTCTCTTCGTTCAACTCCCGACAAACTCGTACCTCTACCACCGCCGTCGACGTTCGTCCTAGGGCTGCTTTCTTTTTCTTTTTTTCTCTATCTCTCTCTCTCTCTCTCTTCTTCTCTCTTTTTAACACACACTCTTTTACAACGAAGGTTTACCTATATACCACCGTACGAAACCTCTCGGTCCTTTTTTGCTCTTCTTTTACCCCCACCGTTTTACCCTTCAAACCGGAGATGGGGTTATCTAGCTTCAGAACCTTCGACCATTTCGCAAATGGCCACCATAAATGTTGCGTTTGCATAGAAAATAAAGTATAAACATTTCGAAAACATTTTGTTATCGATTTAATAGAATACGAAAATTACAATGTTCTTTCAAGTGTTTGGATAATTTGGATATTCGTTTACTTATTTTTACATAATTTTTAATGACAGAATTAAATTAAACATTTTGTTTAAAATGAAGAATTTAATGCAATCCCACTCAACCTGCAATCCGTCAAGCCTTAATATACGGTTCGGCAATTCGAAATGCACAATCATGAATTTTTTTAGGACCCATAATTGACCTTCAAATCATTTCCCACCCTCACCCTAAACCTCGGTTTTGTGAACAAATCGTTTTTTATTATAAAGGTTTATAAGAAATAGTATTCGTCTGCAATCATCTATCTTTTTCTTTGTGTATCATTCTTCTCAAAAATAAAACATTCTAAGAACGTGTATAGAAATAGGCTGACAGCTTCACACCTCGATTAACTTATAAAATCATTTATCTTTTTTTTTTATTATTTATTGATTTTGGACTGTAGATTGTAGATATTTTGAGAATTTTAACTGTATACCTACCTTCACTCCCAAGGTACCATATTGCGGCCCGCTTGATATTGGAAAGGAACGTATAGAGCCTTTAAAAAAAGAAGGTTGAGAATCCCTGATTTAGCGTATCGGATTATATACGATTTTAGTGATTGTTTGTTCTTAAAATTTACTTTTTTGTCTATATGATCTAAATTTTGAAAAGAAAAATTATTTTTATTTTCATCATATTATTCAAAAATAATTTTCTAAAACTAATTCTAAGAGCATGCATTTGATGCATTTTTGTTAGGAATATCTATGTCGTGTTTTTTAACCCCAATTAGTATCATACACTTATACAGATACACTGTGATTGAAATTTATCAATGAATAGTAAGCTAGATTTAAATTTGAAACAAATTCCTTAATTTTTTCTAAAAATATAATATAAAAATATGGTTGAAAAGTAAATATTGATATTCATCTAATGTTGTAATTTAATTATTTTATTGTTAAACGGCTTAACCATGTTGAAAGAACTATTTCCTATTATATTATTAAGGTTAAGAAACGTTGGGTACGGTTAGTACATGAATGGGGTGAAGCATTTGAAAAAAATCGTGTCCTGCTGTCTCCAAAAAGGCAATAAAATACACAGTTGGGGGTCTCCTTGGAAATGTAGGATATATGTGAGATTTTCCTAGAAAAGTAACTGGAACTCCTAAAAAGTAGACTAATACAAGAGACAATAGTCATTTTATTACAAAAAGTGCCATTTATAGAAAAAGACAAAGAAATTACAATATATATTATACTATTATATTATAGTATAATTATGTTAAACAATTGTAATAGGAATTAACTGGTCGGACGACTAAAAGGAAGAATAATCAATATAATTATAATATAAATAATTGTACTCTTTTTGGATTTAGTTCACTTATGAACTAATACCCTGACATATTCCTTTTTTTAAGACTTATATAATATTTGCGATAACACGTAGCGATAAATTTTGTTTACTTTTTAATTTAAAAATCATTATTTACAGAAATATTTATGTAAAAACTAAATGTCAAATCTTTTAATTAGTTCGTAGTAAAAAAAAAAAAAAATGTTTTCACAAAGTAAGTTTATTCTAATTTTAACAAATATGCGTGTGACTAGTTAATATTACCTTGGCTTTATGCATTTGTGAATTTTCTTATGGATAATATAAATAATATATCTAATAAAAAAAAAGTATTAATTGTTATTAAAATTTGACTTAGTAATACCGTAAAGAAATTAAAAATGAATAAGAACGAAGGATGAATGCTTGTGCACACTCTTAGTATGTTTTCGGCCATCTTGTTACGTGCGAAGAGCGCAGCTGCACAGTTATCCCTCTCCAACGTTCATACCCTTATTTCTGGTTGCTCTGAATAACCCTCCATATCTTTACATCGCAATCCTTCAATTTCAATCTTAAATCAAAAATAACGTTCATAACAAAGTTAATTATTTATAAAAGATAACAAGAATTTCATTATTATTAGTAATTATTCTTTTGACAAATCATGAAATCTATATTTTCATGTATTCATTTTTGTATAAAAGTTATCTAAATTGAAGATTGTAACCTTTTGCTGATGAGAGTCGACTCTAGGTCGCCACGATCGGCAAGACGAGTGGTGAGTGAGAGATGATAGTCGGTGTTTGTGTTATATTTCGTTAACTCCAACTGAAGGAAATAAACTGTTGGTACTTGAAGGGTTATTTAATGTATATTTAATGTAATTATGTAAGATCATTAAATATAGATCATTAAATCATAAACCGGCTGAAAATGTTGTCGTCCACAAAGGATTTAATTTCTATACATATTGCGAAGTTACGAAAAATATTTAACGCAATCACGTTCATTAATCAGCAAGAATATGAAATTTTTCTCTTCGAGTCAAAATATTTTCTAGATGACGTGTGCAGAACTGGAAAAAGAAATTGATTTTTTAAACGAGGGAACAATAATTGGTGAAAAAATATACCTAGAAAATGCAGCGTGAACAGCCGAACCTTTGGATACCTGAGAGATGTAACAAACTATTCGGCTGTTTAGAACGTTCGTCCATAAATCATGGTGGTTGCAGGTCAGCTGTTCCGATGTTGCCGCCATACCGTTTTCTCTTTTTCTTTCTCTCTAGTTGTATCCATCTCTAACTCTCTCTCTTTTTTTTTTTCTCTTGTCTGCAGAATATGCTGAATATTCGAGTTCAGTTTAGTCTTAAAATTTTAGAAAGTGTTTCAAAGACTTTTAGTAAAAAAAGAAAAAAATAATTAATTTTTTGCTCATAAACGACATCATTTTCAGCTAGTATTAATTTCAAATATTTACAGATAATAATACATTTATTATACATTTATAAATAATTCGTTTTTCTTGAATTTAGGTTATGGTTGTTGAAAATTCCATATCTTTTTTATTTTTGTTCTTCTGTTTTGAAACCAAGTTTTTATCTTTGTTTCAGAAAGGTACAGATGTTTTGATAATTGAGCTCTTTGTGCTTTACTTATGTAGGGATTTTTCTGGAATTCTTCTTCTAAAATTCTAGTTTGTTGTTTAGAATATATCTGTCGCGTTCTTATTTTATCCTTTTTATTACCCAATTCTGATGGACCTACAAAAGTTTAAGCTAAAATATTAAAATTGGATATTGAAGAAAAGTATGAAGTTATTTTATACATACTTTTTACAATAATTTAAATTTAAATAAATAAATGAAATTAGTTGGTCTGATTTTAAATGAATGTAATATTTAATAAATATAATTCTTAATAAGCTTTTATAATATAATATTAAAAATAATGAACTAACTTTTCGATTTTAAGGAATTATCGTTGACTGGAATTTGTTGATTTATACTACAAGTAGGTTCGTTGGGAGAATAGTAAATTTGATTTTCTGAAGTTACATTTTGTGAATATTTCGGCCCATGATTATAGAACCCTTCTGTTACTGGTGTCGTTTCAGAAGAAATCTGATTACAATCATTGTATTCTTTTCTAATACATGAACTATACTCATATTGAGGATAAATAACTTGTGAGTTTACATTAGAATTGGAGTATTCACATGGGGTAATGTTTGTGGAAGGTACTTGAATTTCACAACAACTATTTCCTTCATAATTATTTAATAAATGTGGCACATTGTTTGAATTTTGAGAAGTCTGAAAACATAACGACGGTTGTATATTTGTCAACGTGGGAAAATCACACTGTCCACTATAGCACTGCCCGTAATTATTATAAGCCATATTGTCACTTTGAAATGAATTCATTTAGTTTTCTTCTTCTAACAAATTTCACGTACTATAAAGTATATTTATATCCTCAATTATCGTATATCTATATACGAAAGGACTGCCGATGCATTTGGATCAGCGTCGAAAGAATGACTGGTTGCACCCTCTATAACTTGCTACTGGTATAAGAGTCCCTTCTCCTCTAAGCCTTGGAAAATATCACATCGGTTTTGAAAAAGCTTATAGGTAGAATTTAGGGCACAGTAGATCGGTCATCAATAGAATAGATTTTTTTTTTTAAGAAAGGGGATAGAGGGTGGAAGAATTTGGTTGTCGAAAGTAGGGATGAATAGCTGGAGGGAAAGAGAAGTAAGAACAGGAAGAGAAGAGGGGATGAAAAGGGAAAATGATTTGAGGAGAGGGGAACAAATTTTCGGAACTAACAATAAGTCTGAAGAAGTTGCAGGAGAGGGGAAAGCGGTAGTCCAAAACTCCAGGAGAGGGAGAAGATGTGTCGTTAAATTGTTAATATAGTTTTAAGATAATTTTTCAACTAATTATGAGAACATACTGTTAGATTTACCGACTTTTTATTCCGACATTTCTATTTCAACCGTTCATTCCAATATACTTTTCTATACTGTCTTATATCGATCTTTCTGAAATCACGCGTGTTCTAAAGTACACACACACACACACACATAAAACTCATATACTCTCTTCCTTCTTCAGATATACATACTTTTACATTCTTCATAGTAACAGTTGATAATATTTCTTATATTTACTTTTATCTAAACAGAAAAACATCTTTGCTTATCCTACAATATCTAAGTTATCTATCAATATATAAGTTAATAATTTAATAATAATAATAATAATAATAATAATAATAATAATAAAAAGAAAGTATTTCCTTAAGTTATACTAATACGATTTAAAACACTTCTGAGAGTAGGTACGATTTAAGAAAAATTCATTTTTTATTACAAATAACAATGAATAAAACTATAAAAATGTTATTTTGAGAAGCTATCGTTTATATTGCACAGAATAAATACTTAAAAATGAACAAATGTCATCATTAATTTATCAATGCAAAACCTAAACTTAATTATTATGCACGTTATCGATAATAATTACTAATTGCATGAGCCCTACTTAAAACGTATTGAATCATTTGATCGTTCATTCGACAGCTCCTCCTTTTCCTCCTACACTTATTTTTTTTTCCTTTTTCCACGAGAAAAAATGAAGACGTCGGATTAAGATATGAAGTAAGTGGGCAAGATAAACACAATGCGTGGCAAAGGCTAGACGTAGGCAGCCTTACGAGTGACGTCTTTCTCTAGAATCTCTGACCAGCGTCGATTAATCAAAGCTGCAGAACCTTCTCTTTCTTTTCTCACTCGTATATACGCGTGCATTTAGCACGGTCCTCCTCGCGTCCCTCCTCGTACTCTCTATTTTCATTAATCCTACTTTCGTTTCGACGCATCGTCGGCGAAAGAAAAATAAGGGCAAAGAAAAAGGGACGAATTAAGTAGAGTGGATCGTCTCTTCTTAGATAAGTGAGGAAAAAATACTACAGATCGACGATTTTTACATATACATATATGCATACTTAAATCTTTCAATATAGGCACAGATAAGAAAAATAGTACATCAATCTCTTTATTTAGGTGGATAATTACTTTCACGAAAGCAACGTCTAAATGGAGACTGCGTGAAAAGAAACATGCAATAAGAAATGAACAAATATGATTTTTGACATACGTAAATGATATGATACCCTTGATAACAAAAACAAAAGAAGAATTAAAACAAATTATGGGAAAGAATCGACTGCAATATTTATTATTGTTGTAACAAACAAAACATGTGCATAATATTTCAACGAGAAGTTAGGTTACGGGGATGAACGATCAGCCGAAAATAATTATCGCTAAACAGAAGTGAAAATAATAGACGGCCTTGCGGACAACCTATAAATAGTAAAGTAGTGTCAAAAAAATAGAGTGATTAATGGATACGTTGAACGTTCGCTCACATGGTGACCGAAACTACGGGGATTCGAATGGCCGAGATCGAGATGGACATGCGTCCTTTGACGTAGACACATTGGCACGTAAACGATGCAACGAGCGAGTTTCTTATTGTGTATGTGTATCTATGCGCGTATGCGAATATCTACGATTGTCTGTGAAAAGACGTCCTACCAAGTCCACAGGACGTACGATAATAAATAATAATCCGCGAGGGGGGATACTTGTGGGAAGAGTCGAGGGTTCAGACCGGAGGGCGAATCGCAAATGATTCCGAATGCAGACTTCATTTTCGATGGGTGGATAATCGTTACCTTCTTCCATCGATTTGAAAGAAATATGCGTTAAAAGAATTTATATTCGTTTAGGTACTTAACGATGAAACCTCGAACAAAGATCAGCTAAAGTTTTTTCTATGATATGAAGTTAATTGAAAGGTGTTTTGAAAGTATAGAAAAGAGAAAAATTCAGAATTCAAAGAAATAGTATGTGTTATCTTTGTTGAGTCAATAGTCATTTACTACACTTTCAGCCAAAAATGACTTATGTAGTTTGAATTGCATAAAATTTCTCGCGTTAGAGCGTGTATTCATTCTTCTTTCCTTCCTTTTTCTTTTTTGTGATTTATGATTTAGCATATACTTTATTTGAATGAACAAACGAACAACTTAGGTTTATTTACTTTTTATTTATCTTTAATGTTCACCCGTTAGTTTCAAAAAGGTTTAAATAAATACAGAACTCTATACATATCTAATGATCTTTAACTTAGAAATCGTAATAGTGGATTTTAGAAGCCTACATACAATGAAACTGCGTCAAATCAAATATTTTAACAATTGAAAATTTGGAACCAAACGTTTCACCGTTCTTGCCACTAACAGATAGATCCATGGATCGAAAGAACCAGTACAGTAGTGATATATATTGAGCGAACAAACAAAATATAAATCAATCTGAGAATAATAGTAAGCGTACCGTCTGGCTTGGTTACGATATTCCTAATTTTTCCAAATGGATGCTGGAACACTACCACCCCTCTTTTGGGTAACAAAGTTTCCCTATTGCCTTTTTCAACGAATGAAAGGAAACAAGAGCACATATGTCGTCTTCTGAGCGTATGTACGTACGATTCATTTCACGAAACGGGGATCCCCAATTTTATTCAGCGGTTACGATGAAAATCGTTTCGTTTAAATAATTAGCAAAATTCATTTGTCATGTGTTCGAAGATTATTTTATACAAAAGAAAATGGAAGTAAAATGAACAAATTTCTAACTTTTTCTTAGAAATAGATTTTGTTTTCTTGGTGCTTTTTACCAATAGCAGGATTAACTACAACTTCATTTGGTCTACAGTTGCGAAGATTTAATGATAATCTATTTTCTCAAAGTAACCACCAGGTTCCGTGCATTCCAGCTGCTCCAGAAAGCATCTAAAAGTTTTGAATGAAGATAATTTCATTTTCTTCTCCAGAGAAATATCATCGTATTTATGTAATTGCTATGTCAATTATTTCAACTGACAATTCTAGCTTTTTTTTTTTTTTGAAAGAAAAGAAAACAGCGTGAAATCCACATGAGATTTAATTCGTGTGTTGTTTTTCTAAGATTTTTTATGCTGGTAACTTGATGAAATTATTAAAAATTTTTTTTATAAGTGAGAGAAGAAATAATAAATCGAAATGAATGTTTATTGTTACTGAAAAACACCAAGTATATGATCGAAGTACCGTCTTCCTAGAGATTAATCTTCAGACTGGCACATTGTCCTCTATCAAAATTCTTTTATTAAATGCTGTTTATATGACTTTTCGAATGTTACGTATGTGTATAACGAAAATAATCTACCTAATAAAGCAAATTTAAGATTGTAATGTTTTAATTTTAGCTTTTTTTGTATTCTAATATAATTATTTTATCGAGCTTGCGCAGTGATGACTTCGAGGATAAAACTTTGTTGTAATATAAGTACAGTGTATTAAAATAATAAAATAATTGTTAATTAATCGATAGGAATGTGTATTAATGTTGAAAAGCACGAAATATATGCCAAGAGGGCACAAAGTTCTCTATGAAAATTCTATTATTCAATGTTATTTATATGACTTTTCGAATGTTGCGCATGTGTGTAACGGTAATAATGTTTCTAATATAGAGAATTGAAGATTGTAATTTTGATGTAATAGTACTTTTTAATGTTTGTCCGATATATTACAGAAATGTTATGTAGTTGTTGGTAGGCATAATAAACAATTTATTGGAACGTAAAGGATTAAATATTAAAAGAAAATTTTAATATTAAACCTATGGATTTTTATCCTTTGTTAATCATGGTTGATTTAATAATAAATATATTACATAATAAAGGAGGCAGTGGTGGCGGCGGTGGTGATGGTGGTGATGGTGGTGATGGTGGTGTCGCAAAACCATCGTCCTATCGATACGTTGTAGATTGGCAGGGCTGGATATGATAAATGAGATTTATAGAATTCTATTCCTTGATCTGCCTCCTCCTCTCTTTATCACCACCAATCCAGTATGCCGCGTGTTATTGTAGACCCACCCCTGCTGAGTACGGACTGAGGGGTGCTCCGCTAGACCGAACAAACAAAAAAGATATTTTTACTGAGAAGTACACACGTTACACAGGGGACAAATATCGTATCGATATCCGAAATCGAACATTGATAAACATTTTTTTCCTTATCAAAATACAGAATCTTCTGTTTGATATCTGGAGACGATAAGATTTTTATTTTATTCGTTCGTATAAAAACCTGTCATCCTTAATAAGATGCAATATACTGTTATTGATAAATTCATTTACATGCTATAATAATTTGCTTAAAATTGTTTATTTTTTAATTAGCATACCTATACAAACGATACTTGAATGTTCATACGAAATATCATAATTAATACGCATCGATAACATTAGGTACTTGTCTTTAGAACGTTTTCCTTCGTGATAAATGTCCAACGTAAATGAGCTTCGTTCCGGACGACCAGTGATCTTCAAGCTTTCACAACTTTTTCTTAGATTATTTTAAATGCAATATTTTAATGCTGATAATGAATTTTTTGAAGAAGACTCTATATAATTTTTAATTTATAATTTCTAATAAATACTAATTGGCGCAAAAGAAAATAATGATTATCGATAATAATTATTTTGTATTCCTTCGTAATATCTCTAAATTAAAAATCAATCAAAATCTAATTATTTACAAGTTTTTTTTATAAAAAGAATTTCAAGTTGAAAAATGGTTTGAATACCACTGCAAAGACGAAGGAACATTTCTTTGTTGGTTTGCCTTATGAAAGTGTGTTTATCGGATGGCATTGAAAGTATCATTAGCCGGTTATTGGGATCACTCTTGGATAGGGAGACTTGGTTACTCTCATTCTCCTCATCGTCGTCGTCGTCGACGTCGTCGTCGTCGTCGTCGTCATTGTCGTGGTCTACATGGATAGGCTTACATTTGCTTCTATCCATGTATATATACGTAGGTAAAGCCATCCTGACTTCATTCACGTCAGATGCGAGGCGACCACGTCATTTATCTGCCAGTCTGCTCGAGCTAACGATGCATTGCCCGGTTTGTTACTCGGACTCCTGGCACGCTCGCACAAACTGTCGATCTGTATATTCTTATGAAATGTTTTTACAGTGAGATGTTTCCTTTTGTTTATTTTTTCAGATACGAAAGATTAAAAGACAAAAATTATCCTATTAATATTATTTTTATTTTATGTCATGGATATATGTTTTATTTATTTGCTAAAAGAATTACGAGGATTGGTTTAAAAGTTTCGAACTTTAACAAAAATATCATTTATTTTATTTGTAAATAAATGTTAGAATGGTCGGAAAATAATTGTGTCACGTATAATTATAAGTGATAATTATTAATATTAGATAAACAATATAACGTAAATAATATTTAACATATATTTACACTATATTTAAATATTGACACTTATGAAAGTTGTTATGATTAATAACTTATAATAGGTATCATTGCTAATACGTTAGAATGGTTGGAAAAATTTTGAGTTTACACAAAAAAAAAACTGTTTTTTTGTTTAAATAAAAGCGAGCTCGATCGAGTAAGAAAATTTCTTTTATGTTTAACTCGAAACTTATGATCACGTGTTCATTGACTTCAAATAAATCCCCAAAGTTTTGATTTCGGTGTCTCCTAATTCTAATTAAAAAACGTAATTAAATGCAAATGGGTAGAATCTCGATGCAATAATATAGGTGAAATATCCAAATATAGTAAGGTCGGCATATCGAGAAGTGGAACAGTTTGAAAAGGAAACGTACAACATGCGACCAAAGTTAATGAGACTTTTGCGTGTACCGGAAAGCGGGCTGGCTCTTCTGATGTACGAAATAGCGCAACTACCGCGTTTACAGCACCCCTCTCTTACAAACCCTTACTGTTAACAACGCGTTATGCGAACCACTCCCAAATTTTGCACGCATCCTGAATGTTTGATACGTCCGACAAAAATTGTTTTTTTGTTTTTCCATATTTTTATTGAAAAATAAATCAGTATATATACTAAAACGAATGAATCAATGACAAAATTTGATTACTTTTAAATTAAAACGTTCCCACACATTACAAAATGATTTTTATTTATGTAATTTAAATTTAAATAATATAAAATTAATCCTAAATTAAAATGTAAATTGAGAAAAAAGATTGTTCGTGTTTCTCCGGTAGCTATAGGATTACAAAACTCTTCAGTCTATGGCTTAAATTCAGAGGTTTACGGAATTGTAAAAATAGCAGAAAGCTTACCTATTCATTCCTACTTTCCATAAGTGAGTATTTATTTCGTTTTGGCTCTAATGGTAAGAGATTTCTAAGCATTTTCAAAGGTAGCCTTTTATAAACGATCGATTATGCAAGATTTCGTCGACACGAGAAGGAGTGAATGCGCTGATGCTAGATGACTATAAATCACTCAAGTTACGTCACAGCTTGACTCCGAAGCGAACCCTCGATTTCGTTTAGACGAGAGAATAAGAAGAATCCGGAAGTATGGTTAGGTGAAGGGTAGCCAGAAGGGGAAGGGAGAAAGGAATACGAGAAAGGGACGAGATTGTCTCGCGGTTTGCCGAAGCAACTTTTCTATATCTACCTAACATAGCTCATTCCATCGTTGGCTCGTTCCTCTCGTTCTAAGCTTCCACGTTGGAAACTTAGCAAAACTTAGGGTGCAGGAATCCCCCTTTCTTCTTTCGCATCCTTCAGCACCGTAGTACTAGAACGTAAGAGACAAACAAGCTTACGAGTGTGAGTGAATAGCCAGCAACGTAATTAATGGGTAGTTTGGTGGTCAGCTGGACAGCTGTCCCGTTTTCTTTTATTCTTTTTTTCTCTCTTTCTCTACCGAGGAATGGAATCGTGTAGTCGGCGGAGCGTCGCGGTTGACTCTGAAAGAGAGAGAGAGAGAGAGAGAGAGAGAGAGAGAGGGCGAGGGAGAGTGAGAGAAATAGAAAGAGAGAGGACGAGGGAAAGAGAAAGAGAAGGACACTGAAAGTTCCAGCAGTCCTCTTCACCCCGAACGAGTCCTCCTCCGATCTGACTTAGACGTGCCTCCAGACGTGGCGGAAGGAGCAAGATGGATTATCTGACACTACCGGACAAGATCAATTGAATTTCTATTTGGACCTAACCGAGATCCGTTTGGCAGCCGCCATCATACCTCCCACTCACCTCTCTACTCTTCTCGATCGCTTCCCTCTAGATCCATTCATCCACACACCCCTTCCTCAATTTCTTCAGCTTCCCTTGCTATGCGATTTTATGTCTAATTCTACCTTGGTTACTCTCGTCAACACCAATCCGATTCGAATGATCTATTCGAAGGATAAACTATCATCATCTTTCACCGAACGACCTTGTTGATCTTCCATAGTTCACAGGGTTCACACAATACGTTTGAAATGTTTTTCAATGCTAATATCGAACGTAGTGATTATTTATTATTTTATAGGATTGATATGAGTGTTGAATTAGATTTCATTAATCTTAATTATCGATACTTCTTTAGATAATAAATTTCTTAATAACTTAAAATTCATATGTTGACAGGCTTAAGAATTCTTTTTTTTTTGTTTTACTATCGGCGTGTAAATGAAAGAACACGTCACTTTTCTTCGGACCGATGATAAATGACTTTCGATGCTAGGCCATTTAATTATCTTCGTGGTAAACACGTAAACGATTTTTTACAACAATCTGCTACCGATTGCAAGTTAATTACAACCTTTGGTATCTAATAAAAAGTACAAACATTAATAATGTGGAACGAATTGTAATATCTTTTTTAAACATATTCATTTATTATTAATTTATCTTTGTTATTGATAGAGCAATTATTTAAAGAAAAGTAAAATTACGTATTGTTTATTATCGACCAATTTTATCACGTAAAATATTACATTGCGACTTAATCATTATATTTTTTCGTATAAATTTTTTGTTATCATAAAAACAAAAATTTACATATTTTATTAACGAAAATACTTTGATCTTGTGGTTAAACAAAAAGTAATTATATAATATTTATGTTTAACTGTCACTGTAATATATTTACGTCAAATCGATTAAAAATTCATATAGAGTTATTATTTTTCAAACGATATTACAAATGAAGTGCATGATGAATGCTTTCTGTTCTCCTACTTTACGCTACAATGATAACGTATGACACGTTTGTGACTCACCTAAGTATAACGTTCCTAATCGCAATGTCAGATCTAGTCAACAGTACAACTTATTTTGCGAAACCGTGTTATATCTGATATTAATAATTTACTTAAGTTATTTAAACGAGTTGTTAATACAATAACAAATATTGAAGTAATATTAAAACATATTCGAAAAGGTAGATTCCCAATGATATAACAAATCAATATTTTATTTAATAAAATTAACTAATTGATCGGTTAATCTTTTATTTTTCTTAGAATTTTATGGAAAGATATTCATCATGCTGTTATCATAGATACATCGCGAATATTCATCAGCATGAATATATTATATATTAAATAATTATATACCAAAAGATCAAGGACTTCTTAGAGATCTTCTCATAACTTACCGGACGTGAGTAGAAGCGAGCATGTTTCGAACGTAAACCTATTACTTATTATCTTATTAAAAGTAAATCTATATCGTTACCCTTTCCTCACCTCTCGTAACAATGAAAAAGAGAGGTCGATCTTAAGAACGATAGGAGTTCTCTTCAAGCTCCCGCACATACGCATTTACACATAGACACAAACACACACACACATACATATACCCATCCATGAATGCATATTATACTAATTGGTGGCGTAACTTTATTACTCTCGCTTAAATAATGACCGGTCCACGTTAAGATCTGCCGTTCAAAAGACCGTAAAAAATAAGGTATAGAGAGATGAAGGAGGGTGGGAAAGGAGAAGGGGACAGGGAGAGGGACGGAGATGGGCGGGAGGAGAATGAATAAAACGCGTTGCATAAAAAAGAAACCGATAGAAAGATCTGATAAGAAGATATCCGATAAACTAAGCCAACCACGTTCT